TCGTTTAAATATGCTTAAACCACAAGATGTCTGTTTACTTGTCCTATTTCATTCGACTGTGGTAACCTAACAATATGTGGATTAGCTTTACGTTTACTGCTATATTAGTTTCATTACCCGGCTCTGCTATTTTGTGAAAGTCAAATATTAGTTTCGTAACGTTTATTAACCACGGCCGGGTGGCTGTCATAAGTGTAACCTTATGTGCTACCGCATATGCAGGGACATTGGCCGAAGTTATCCGGATCCATCTTCCACAATCAACGTCACTATTATATGTCTATTGTCTTTGCGGCGCTAAGTTTGTTAAAGCGAAGCAGTGCAGTGACGCTTGCAAGAATACACGAAAACTACAAGGATTGCGTGAAGACTGGAACAGGCAAGATGAATCAAACTCACCTGAGCTAGCGGCCCATATTGGCGAAACAATTAGTCTGGCAATGGCCACGGTAGGGAATAATGAACTGAAGCGTGGAGGGGGGAAGGGGTGCTGAAGCAAATGAACCCATTAGCACCTAATGAAAGTAGCGTTTCCGATTTCCCATATGAGGATCATTTATGAATTGAACTTGCCCTCCGGATTCGAGAAACCTGCTGATACAGTTCTCTATAGTGGTATATCATGACACCAATTCTAAAATATACTAGAATTTATTCCACAGTAACTTACAATATATGGTCACTACATGGCGCCCCACTAAAAATTGCCTCAGACCAGTCCCGTCTCTGCAGCTTGCCTCAACAATGCGTTATTGTCGCAATAAGTGAATAAACATTGCGAGTGCATTTTAGCAACGTTCCAAACATTTATTTCCAGGTGAGGCCATGGGCCACCAGAGACATATCCACGGGCTGCATTCATCCCGAGGATAGCATGTTAAGTACTCTTTATTAAACGCAGAAAACCACATCACGCTTCAAGTAAGGCCCGCTTCAGGCAAACGACAAGCATGCCTCGCTGTTTGAGGTTCTGAGGCAGCCGCGTGCGGCTGTTTCTTTCACGCACGTCTGCTGTCCTTTGCCGTTCGAAGAATAGATCCCAGACCCATTTTTGCGCCATTTGCCGTTAACCGAAGAGCGACGTAGGAAATCAGCGATGAACGAGCGACAGAGGTGAGCTGCGTCGTCTGCTCTCCACGTCTTCTGCGTCTGCCGCGGGACACTCAAAGCTGCTTGCTTCTCGCTCGATGGTTTTCTCGCGATGTCGTATGTGTTGTTGCGAGAACACGTTCCAGGGTTGCATAGAGCGTTTTAGCTTGTCCCATAAAAAAACGCAGCGTAATTCAAAATAGCATGTCCCAAAAGAGGCGTTTCGAAAAGTGGCGCCAGTTATCCAGGATGACCTAAACACGTGTAATGTATGCCCTCCGAGATACGGGAAGGCTTGCCGATGCCTACATCAGTTATTTGAGGATGGCACTCAAAAACGGTGCTGAATCGATTCGAGTACTGTGCTGTCGTAGCTTAAGGACATCACTTTAAAGCGAATGGAAGCATTCATTCGATTGCTTGTATGCCACAGAGCGCACGGTGACTGCTTGATAGATTCGAGGTGCTCGACACCTGAATTTGGAAGAGCGGCCTTGTTTATCGGAGTCTGCTTCGCTGGCGAAGCTTGCCGTGAACTTCGAACAGCTCTCAAGCGGACCATGCCGGCTGTCTGTCTACGACACTATGCCGTCAGGTCAGACTTGCCGCTCACATAAACCGGCCCTAAGTGACGTGACCCTTCCCGCAACGGCAGTGCGGTGCGCTCAGTCACTATTGGCATGCTGATCGTTAGGTATGTTTCACAGAAAAGCAAGCACGGCGCATGAGCGCGTCATGCCTGTGTGCCTGCGCCGATAAGTTTTGATGCGTGGCCACATCTTGCGTGCTGGCGGCCTGCTTTGCGTGACGTGGCCAGGTGGTGCTATGTTTCTCCCAAGAGTGCATAATTTTGTGCATGTAAACGCTCTTCTTTCCTCGCTTGTTTTTTTTTTTGCGCAGTGTAACGTCACTTTTAATCCTAAAGATCGTTCGGTGGCTAAAGCTCACACGCGTTGTCTAAACTTTTTATTTCAAAAAGTACGGCACAAATATGTGTTTTCGGCAAAAATTTCTATTAGCTTCGCTTTAGCATTTGAAATCTGAGAACGTTACAAATGTGGTAGAACAAAGTTAATTTTCACTAGGAAAAAAGATGACTTTCCCTCAAGGAAGCTCCACATGGCAAAGGTGCCCACCATCACATCCGTGCAATCGGTCTGTTAGCCCAATTTTAAAAACCGTTGGATAGCGCTCTTGAAGTAACTGCGGGAAAGATAGGTGCGCTGTCCTATCCCTCCAGCTGTCCCGAACCTCCAGACTCTTCGCTACGTCTGGTTAGGACAAGAAGTACCCGTGGAGCTTCAGCAACCATTCTGAAATCATGAGTGGTAGGTAACTTGTCCTGAATAAGAAGGTGTACAACAGCTGTACCTTACGGGTACTAAATTACGGAGCACAAACCTACACGTTTACCGAGTATTTGGTTGGTAGCTCCGGCCCTCAGGCTCAGAGTCACCAGATGCCGAGGCTGCTCGCGACAGAGCTCGAGGGGTAGTGTACCAACCGAATTTCGGAGCAGCCAAAGCCCTTTGATCTTGGTGCAGCCAGCATGGAAAGCCGCAAGTAAACCACAGCCGCCTGGCTCGGCGCACGTGGTGCCACACCACCACGTGTGCCCATCGATACGGCCACGGGTTCCTGCGCCAATTCCAGCGCTGAAACAAGAAGTGACGTCGATCAGTTCAGTACGCACTTCCCACATGTCTTGACGCAGCGGCAACTTTCCGAGTTCAGCCCATAAATCTGATTGATTGATATGTGGGTTTTAACGCCCCAAAACAACCATATGATTATGAGAGGCGCCGTAGTGGAGGACTCCGGAAATTTCGACCACCTGGGGTTCTTTACGGTGCAACCAAATCTGAGCACACGGGCATACAACATTTCCGCCTCCATCGAAAATGCAGCTGCCGCAACCATGATTCAATCCTGCGATGTCATAAATCTGGCGATTGTTATCGTTGCAGTGCTATATTTAAGGCAAATCTCGTAGCTGTCTCCGAGCAGCTGTAACGACAGCATTGAAGTTTTCTGTGCCTTCGCTAGACTCTTCTTTTTGACATGATGCGTTTGTAGCTTCGTAGGCGTTAACTCGCCACACAGAAACTCAAAAACGCCACTGCAACGCACGTGCACGAAGTATTACGCTTCCGGCGATGTCTCCTTCTGAAATGTGCACTCGGGCTGTATGCGCTGAGCACCTGGTTAAGCTGCAGGTAGCCACAGGATTAGACGGCTTGTGTACCTTGCTCCATCCTCCCGGTCAGGTCGCTTCATGCTCGCACTTCGAAGTAAAAGTGGTCGGGAGCATTTCGAGTAGGATGCTGACGCTCCGAAAGAACCAACGGAAGCACTCGAATCGTGCCAACCCAACGCGCATGCAGCCACCTTTCAGAGAGCTCGTAAACACCCAACATGAATACGCCACTATAAAGAGAAACCTAATTTAAAGACGACGCAGCAAGTAGCGATTAGAAATGTAGTAGAAGTAAGTTATTCAGATTACTCATAGCACACCATTGTTACTACCTTTAGAATTAAGGCAGGTTTACGTAACCTTGACCTACGTCGTAAGGGAAGTAGACTGTCCTTGTACAACAAAATGTATCATGCATCTAATTATAGCTTCCCCACTCAGCCAACCCATCGGACATCAGCTCTCACAAGTCATCACAAGGCCGTCTACCCCTCTCCTGTCTGCACCACAACCCACCATCATTCCCTTTTCGCTCAGGCAGCCAGGGACTGGAACGACCTTCCCTCAAGTGTCGTCGGCCATTCCAACCCGTAAACAATTAGGAATGCCATAGAATTGTTGTTTTATTTTTTTCTATATTGTTTTCCGACTCCCTCACCTAAAGTCCTCTGTTGAAAGCCTTGAAGGTATATTATATAAATACATAAAAACATTAAGCGGAGTACAGTCGAAATGTAAAAGGCAACATAGTTAAAATCAAGAAAGAAATTGTATATTCGCCGGGAATAAAGCGCGTTGGCAAAATAACTGCTGCAGTCAGTGAGGGTAACTGACGGGATTCTGAGAGAAAAAGAAAGAAAGTTAGGTAGGCTGATATGAGGGAGTGTCACATTAAGATTATGTCTGGAAGTTTGCGGGTACGACTCGGCAGCATCAAACACAAGACAAAATTTATTGATGCAACATAGGGAAGACGTTTGCCCTACAGCGGCTGTAGTCATGCTGATGGTAATGACAATTACACAGAAGGCTCCTATGTTTTCTGTGATTCTCTGGATATCTCAAGATCTTCGAATATTGTGGAAGCCTTTTTTGCCTGCAGCGTTCAAGCTTAACTCTTTCAGCCCTCGTGTCGTCAATTGACGACACCACACAAATTTTCTTTTAGAAACTTGAAAACATAATGAAATCCGCTCATTCTTGCAGAGGTATTTCTTCAACTATTCACAATGCAATCGACACCACCGCTGTTTCATTTTTCTGGAGCATGGAGCAGTAAAAAAGTAGAATCTCGACCGATGTTGTTGGTGACGACGATGTGGGCAAGCAGAGGCGGGAAGGCGGCACTTTCGGGTTGAAGCCCTGAAAGTGTTTTAGGAGCTTCAACACTTTTAAATACTATGTTTGTTCAGATTTTGTGCAATCTAGGACACATCAGCAAAAAAAGTTGCAATTTTTGTCATTTCTTGAATATATGCCCAGGATGAGCTAATTTACGTCGTCGCTGTAAATTCATAAATACTTACACTACTGACTAAAATTTTCGTTTATGGTCTTCTGAGACCATCATTATTAGTAAAATACGTTATAAGAATGGGTCTGACAAAAACAAAAATTCCAGAGTTGAAATGGTTAAGCTCGAAAGCTGACGTGGTGCTACTTTTTCACGTGGAAATATTTCACGCATGAACAAAACATGTCTGCTGCTTTTCAGGGAGACGATGGTGGTCCGCTGGTGTGCAATGCCAGCAGCGAAGATCGGCTTGTGCTTGTGGGACTGGTGTCGTATGGTGAGCTGCACTGCGGCCAATTCGGAGTGCCAGCAGTGTACGCGGACGTGCTCCAGAGCATGGACTTCATCACTGAAGCCACGGGTCTTCCCAGAGAGCGCTTCACGAAAGCGTAGAGTGCACAGCATCGAAAGAAGAGTGAACACGCAGGAGCCCAACGGAGCCACATGTACGCCATCCATGTGGCCTCATGGGCATTTTTTATGGAACATCTTGTAAAGAATCACTCGCTACACTTATACTTAACCCGACTGCTGGCAGTTCGATACCACTTTGGAATTCTGCAATATATCCTCCTCAAGAGCGGTCCACGAATCCAGCGCTAATGACGACCACTGACCCCGCTTTCAAAGAGCATACCTTAAGTTTGACTATTCGCTGAGGTGATGGGCTGCAGCTCTTCGGTCAATGGCTGGCGCTTCTCCTGACTATCCAACCATCGATTTACCTGACATTATGACAGGAATTCACGGAAGGAGAGAGTATCGGCACTGCCCATTTCCGTTATCATTGACAAGGGACTCGAAGTACACTTCTGTATCCAATAATAACATATGTCTGATCAGTTAGGGCAGGTTCACACAAATTTAAAAGATTTACTGGGTGATTGGCCTAATTTTTAGCGAGGCAGTTATCATTTCATTAAGATATATAGTCTCTCATAAAACAACAAGTTGTTGACACAGCACCGGTAAAAAATTTGAACAGACAAGAGAGAAGCCCTGGCAGCGCATGCCTAGTTGAGGTGAAATTCATGTTGTTTACGTTGCAACAACATGAATATGGGGCACGCCATAGCAATAAACGCCCATATAATATCACTCATTTGGAGTTCTCTGACGCCAACCAAAGCACGTGGGAGTTGCTTGCATTTAACCCACATCAGAATGCCACCGTTTTGTTCGCAAATCGAACCCAAGACCACGAGCTTAGCAGTGTCATACCGTATGTCTAATGCTACCATGGCTGTTTGAGGTGAAGTTAGCAGTCCATCGCCTTAACCACTCGGCCACCTCACCGACGCGTATTTGAGGTGAAGTGAACGCGGTCGTTCAAGCGCTGAAATGTTATGGCAAGAAAGCACTTAATACGCACGAACGTCAATTGAGGTTGAACCAAGTCCACCAAAGCAGGAGGAGCCATCAATAAGCCAATAAATAAACACTTTTGTTATTGTACACGCTGATACATAAGCTCTGCTGTCATTGGACGCGTTCATTTATACGATGTTCACGTACAGCACTCCAGCATAAAAGCCTCAACCTGCATGTGCGATGAGATATGCTACAGTAAATGTGGTGTAAAACGAGTGTCAAGATCCTGTGAATAAAATAAACGAATACATCTCTTTGTAATGATATTGTGTAGCCATTTTCAGTGGTGCTCAATGAAAAATATAAAGGTGCCTTTGCAGCTGTGTTGCCAGGCTTGAAAAAAGCAGAGCTGGGAAGACCAGTTTTTTCCTGTTCTAGTACAGTCTACTGTCAGGCTAGTGAACAATGAACACACGAGTCTAGGGGGTGGTTTGGCATGCGAAGTGTCTGCATTGGATCCGCCAACCAACGTTAATCTACTCATTCTAATGAGTTTCCCTCCAAGAATTGTACTGGAGCAACGCCAGGAAGTTTCAAGTAGCGCCTGGATACCGCATTTATATAACTAGGTGCCCTGAAATGTCTTTTGTGAGTTCTTCATAGGACAACGAGAGGTAATCCTATTTGTGCCTATCACGGCATCGGGTGCCCCAGCGTGGATAGGCCGCACGCGTGGTCGTTCGTTAGACCAACCTCCAATGAGCCAGCACTCTAGAAACTAAGAGTGCCGGGATTTTTGTTTGGGAGAGTACCTTCTCGTCCCATAATTCACTGGCTTTCCCAAAGTAAATCACGCATTTTCGAGCCAGAGACTCCGAGTATATGATTACCTAAGAAAGGGTTAAAGTACTCTAGCTCAACATAGCATAATAGCGTTGCCCGAAATACAGTAGCATGATCTTACCGTAGCATGCCACAGAAGGCACACACAAAAGCGGAGAACACGTTCGAAAGACCCCATGCAGCGATATTATAACTGAGGAGGACTGAACGCTGCACAAGTTTGTAAATATATAACTACACAAACTATGCGAAAAAGACAGGAACAGAAAAAGGCCCTCGCGAAACCACAGAACACATTCAAAAGACCCATTACAACTGCTAATACAACTTAAGAGGACCGAGCGCTGGGACAGTAACTAATGTATAACTAGAAAAACGCCGCAAAAAAGACAACAACACGGTAGCCACACGCACAAGCGCAGAACACGCGCAAAATAGCCCATACAGCTTGTAATATAACTGAAGAGGACTGAACGCTGGGCAAGTTGGTAGTTCATAACGACACATACTGCGCCAAAAAGACACAAAAATAGGAAAAGGTACTCGCAAAAGCGCAGAACTCGATCAAATGAGCCCATACAACTAGGAATATAACTCAGGAGGACTGTGCGATGGGCCAGCTGGTAATGCATAACTACAAAAACTGCGCGAAAAAATGACAACACAGAAGCCACGCGCACAAGTAGCGAACATACGCAAGACTGCCGACACACCGAGTATTACTTTTAAGATAGCTCCAACATCTTAATGGGAGCTGACAGATGGAAACAAGGAGGGAGAGTAAAGTTTAAGCGGAAGGACAGGAAGGTTAGCCAGTTTAGACTGGCTGGCTACCCTGTGCTGGAGACTCGGGGTGAGGAGGCTAAAGTATGATAAAAAAAAGTTGCGGATAAAGAGAGAGAGAGATAAATTACAAAAAATAGCGACAGAGGAAAAGCAACATCAAAGAGTATAAGACACTAAAGTCTGTCTCTGAGGCCAGTTGCCCGCAAAAAGCGTAGCAGAGCTTTCAAAGCCTTCTGGGCTGAAGATGGGCCCGGCCAATAACCCAGAACCCTTTCTTCCGACAACGGCCGATCATCCAGTCTATCCAGAGCTGCAGTCAGTTCTTGTCTTCGCGTGTTGAAATGGGTGCACTTACGTAGAAGGTGCGCGATGGTTTCTTCGCAGCTGCAGTACGTGCATGTAGAAGAGCTGGCCATTCCAATGAGATAGGAGTGTGCGTGCGTGAAGGCTACTCCAAGCCACAGGCGGCATAGAAGAGTCTCCTCAGCTCGAGACATATCCCTGAGGGAAGATGAAACTGGAGATCGGGATCCAAGTTATGCAGGCGCGCGTATGTGAATTCTGACTGTACCAGTGTGAGATCACGTGCAAGCGAACAAAGTCTTGTAGCTGCGTCATTTCTTGAGAACGGGATGGCAGTGTATTGGGTACCGTCATGTGCAGATCTAGCAGCCTCATCTGCGCGGTCATTGCTATATATACTGCAACGGCCTGGTATCCATTGATACACTATGCTGTGCTGTTTAACGATGGCCTGGTAATGAAGAAGCCTTATTTCAGCTACTAACGGTTCATTATATAGGTTTATGGCGAAAGGGTGACATAAGACAATGAAGAGCTGCCTTCAAGTTCGAGAAAATAGACCAAGTTCTCGAAGGTACTTCACTATAAACTCCAGAGCTGCACGTATGATGGCGAGTTCTGCAGCTGTAGATGACGTCAATTGCAATGTCATGACTATAATTGTGATGTGCTTTGCCGGAATAACCACCGCCCCTGCTGATCTTACTGAAGACAAAGAGCCATCCGTGTAATTGTGAAGGCGTCCGCTGTGCTTCTCTTGCAGAAATAGTAATGTGGCCTGTTTCAGGGCTAGATGCGACGACATTTCCTCATTCTGGATGCCAGGAATTGTAAGAAGGGCTTTGACTGGGTGTACGCACCACAATGGTAACGGTGACCATGCAACATGCGTGAGGTGCAATGGAAGAGCTGCACAATGCTGAGCTACAGTTGCGCTGAACGCTGAGTGGGGCCTAGAAGTTCGAAGTGAGGCGAGGTGATGTGATGGAAGCTGAGCCAAATGTCTTAGGTGCATTCTCAAAGCGTCTACGCGGATGTATGCGTTGACTGGATAATCACGTGCAATAATGACTGTCGCTGCTGTAGACGCGCATCTCGGGAGACCAAGGCATATTCGCAATGCTTGGGCTTGGATCGACTGGAGGACGCGCAAGTTTGTCCTTCGGATCCCGCAAAACACGGGTAAGCTGTAGCGCATACAACCGAGGAACAGAACAGTGTAAAGTTGAAGCATGGCTCGTACCGATGCACCCCACGTTTTTACTGAAAGAAACCTCAGCACGTGGGTTATCATCGTGAGTTTAGTTTTCATGTGGGCGATGTGAGAACTCCAGGAGAGGTCGCGATCAACGGTGAGTCCGAGGAATCGGTGGGTCTTCACGTAGTTGATCGTGTGTCCATTATTTTATTAACATATGGACTCATCGCCTTATGCGTGAATGCTATAAGCGAGCACTTCTCTGATGACAGCTCTAGTCCTGTTCTTCCAGGTACTTTGTCGCTAGTGTAGCCACTCTCTGAAGCCGGGCACGCAAATGAAGGCGTTACGCCTGACACTCAGATGCATATGTCATCTGCATATATTAATAGATTGACTGATTCTGGAAGTGTGTCAACCAGGCCAAGGAGCGCTATATTGAAAAGTGTGGGGCTAAGAACACCACCTTGAGGTACACCACGATGGATGCAATGATGCGTTGTCGTGCCATTCTTCATCTGTACAAAGAAATTTCTGCCTTTCAAATAGCTGTCGATCACTTGGCGAACCCGGCCCTCTAATCCAACATTTTCTATGATATCCAGAATGGCTTTATGTTAAACATTATCGTATGCACGTTTCATGTCCAAGAACAACGCAGCAGATAAACGTTTCAGTCTTTTTTGATGCTGCACAGACGAGACCAGGTCAATAACGTTATAAATTGCCGACCACCCCGCCGAAAGCCCGTCTTAGCATCAGCGTATACCTTGTGGTGCTCCAGGTACTATTCTAGGCGAGTTAAAATCATTCTCTCTATCACTTTCTCGAAACAGCTGGTAAACGCGATGGGGCGATAAAAGATCAAGTCCAGAGAAGATTTTCCTTGTTTAAGCACAGGGACGAGGTGGCTGGATTTCTGCGAATGACGCACACATCTACTGCTCCACGAGTCGTTGTACACGTATAGAAGGGCCCGTCTAGCTGCTTCACCGAGGTTGCAACGAGCCATGTACGTGATCCCATTCGGTCCAGGTGATGAAGATCGTTTGCATGCCGTCAAGCCTGCTTGGAGTTCTTCTAGAGAGAAAAAGATGTTCATTCTTGATTATGTGGAGACTGTGGCGTTTTTTAGGTGACGCGTGGTGCACGCGGACGCCTGACCGGCAACTTTCATACAGAAATTTTCTGCTACTTCAATTTCAATGCGGCCTTGGTGGAGATACAAGCACTTGAAGGGGCGATGTTGATGTGGCGATGTGCGTAGGCCACAAAAAATCCTCCATGTCTGTGTCAGACCTGTGTGCATCGAACAATTCGCACGGAGATTTCCACCGAAAAGATTGAAGTGAACTTATTTGCCGCTGAATTCTTTTCTGTAGGTGCCTTGCCTCCCTTAAGTCGTAAATGGACATAGTGCGCCTTTTTTCATCTATCTATCCTCCATCTATCTATCTATCTATCTATCTATCTATCTATCTATCTATCTATCTATATATCTATCCATCTATCCGCCCATCCACCCATCAATCTATCCATCCATATATATATATTTTTCCTCTCTTTGCCTTACCTCGCGGGCAAACCCTGTATGTGATATGCCCAAATAAAAAATAAAATAAATAAAAAATAAAAATGTGTCTGAAGATGGTGACATCACTTTTGTACAAAAAATTAGGAACAATTAAAAATATCTTCGTTCTGCACGACGACAAATCACTTCGAGCCGTTCTCATTCCACTTCATGTTGACAATATTTCGAAGTAGGTTCGATATGATAAGTCGCTTCTTGAGCAGCACCTCTAATATTCTCGAGGGTGTCAAGAGGAGGCGCTTCATTTTCTTGACACCTCTCTTCCGTCAGGGTCCTGAACTTTGTCCAGTCGATGCGAGGCGAAATGTCGTAGTTTTGCGTTTATTCTAGGCCCTTGATTTTTAAAATGGTTGGTATGTGGTCGCTTTCATAAGTTTCATAGTCTGTGAACCACTTGACCTTTAAATTTAGGCTTCGTGACACGAATGTTAAGTGAAGGCAGCTGCTGTATGTGGTTCCCCGTAGAAACGTTGGGCTTCCATCGTTTATAAAAAGCAACTGCTGCTCCTCAGCAAAGAAGAATACTTGCTTCCCGCGACAGTCTATCTTGTGGCTTCCCCATAGTGGGTGGTGAGCGTTGAATTCTCCGGTGATGATCCA